AAGGACTTGGTCTCGACTGACCTGGCAGATTTGTGGTACCGAGTTGTAAATTGGATGAACCCGCTGAACTCATCCCGGCCCTCTCGCACTGCATTGTCATGAGAGATGCCTTCCACGTATGCCAGATCACTGTTGCGGCTTCGAGTGTAAATCATGAGGACCAGGTGGCTGCAAATCAACCTCTCTTGCAATTCCTTGGGTGGGTCAGCCATGAACTTCTGCAGCTTCCTGACTTCCATCACTGTCAGCGGCCGTGCTTGCTTGGTAGGCCCTTTCAATGCTGCTTGGAGTTCAGACTGACCTACCAACCGTCGGCTGGCAACGCAAAGGTCAGCCCCATCCACCTGCAAGACGTGCTGGCAAAACCTGAGTGTCTGGACGAACGACATCGCCTTAGTTGCGGCCGCACCACATCGCCGCAGGTGAACCAGATAGTCCCACACGAGCGGCTCAGAGAAAGGGAGCTGTAGCATCTACCCATGTTGCAAGCCACCTGTGATAGGCCAATACGGCGTTGCATCTCTTGACAACTGTTGATGGTGACCTTGTGCCAATGACTGAGGTCAGAGTGTCTTCCATGTCGGCCGCGGCACGCCAGAGCTATCCAAGCACTGACGGCCTACACCGCTGGCGTCCCAGTTGATCTCCAGGACGCACTTGATCTTCACCAGCGCGTTGGTCAACTTCTTCTCTCGTGCTTGGATGAAGTCCATGTCGGCCAGGTTCCTGATGCACTTCAACACTCTGAAGTCAACTGGCGCTACTGCATCTGGTGTTGCTTCTGGCATCGCATGCTTGAGTGGGTCTGCAAAGGTCTCACTCCATTGGGCCGGCATTGAAAGCTTTGTTTCACAAAACTGACTTCCAAAAATTGGCGCCATGAAAGCATTCTCCCAAGGCATCACTATGGTTGATGGAGTGATCCTATCCACAAAAGCATTGACAAATGATGCAGAGTCATCATTCTTGGAACTAACCTTCATAAGGCGCTCAACTGGAGGCTCCGACGGAAACTGTTCCTGTAGCAAGGATGGACTGTACTCGGTCTCCTCGGTCACTTTTCTTCTCTTGGACCATCGTTTCCTGAAACCTTTGAGGTCCCCAGGTGCAGCCTCATCATCAGCATCTTGATATTGGTCGATGGCAGCATCATGATTGCTGGGTGAACCTAGGAAGTCTGCTGGTCCATCAGCATCCACATCAACCGCTGACAAGCCTGACTCACCAGTCAGAGGAAATGCTGACTGCCTCGCTGACCCACTGGGCTGAGCGTCACCTGGGGACTTTGGTGCAGAGAACTGGCAGGGCTCAAAGAAGCCATCTGCAAATGAAGCCATGGCACGAAAACCCCCTACCAGTAAAAAGTGACCAAACACAAGACATGAAATCTCATACATGTATTGATTCATTCACGTTCACATTGAACTTGATCCAAGAGCTCGGTCGTTCATGAAATTCACTGCAGCTGCACAACTTAGGTCACTCTCCAGTCGGATTGTTTCCCTCTCAGAAAAAAATAGAAATTCGTTTGATCACAGTCACCACAGCACATTTACCGAGATGCTGATCTATACCCGCAATGTTCAAGCCTTAAGTTGTGGGATGTTTTTTCGCATTTTGGAATTCCCCCCATGGGGTTGTGCAAGAACAAGCTACGGTATGATACATGGTTCGTACCCCACTCCCCTAGATAAAGATATCGGATATCCCTGACACAAGAAGAAAGTCCCATAAAATGACCCTGCAGGATTGCTCTCTACCCAACCCATCACTCCTACAAAATGACGTGTGCATTCCATGGGCAAACCGGCAAACCTTGAACTTGTTAAAATAGCGCATGCTTAAAATATCATCATTTCATAGCCAAGTTTGTCGGACATCCAGGCGCATGTCTAAGTTCTCACATGCCATTTTATGGCGCAAGGACATGGCAATTAACTAATCAATATCAATCAGGAGGGATTGGACAGATGCAAACGGACTTTTCTCAGATTAATTTGCGAGGGCTACCCAAAATCATTCGAACATGGCTGGATCTGGATTGAAATCTCTACAGTATGAGAGCAAAACAACAAAAGTTATCACCATAGTTTTTTTCCAGGTAGGTCCGGGACCTTTTGGTCTCGGATACATTTTGCAATGTCTTGGACTCATGTTGCAGTGTTTCGGGCTCATTTTGCAGTGTTTCGAACCCATTTTGTAGTGTTTCGGATTGATTCATCTCGTACAGTAGTGAAGTTTCAGGCCCGAAACATCCCAAAAGTATTAAATAAAGGTTATCATGTTGGTTTTGAAGTGGCGATGTTTGTGGAAAACTACAAGTGCCTCAAGAACCTAAATTGTGCGGAGGAACCAAACCATACCGAAACATCCCCCTTGGAATTCACCTGGGGCTGGGGCCACCCAAAAGTAATGTCCCCTTATTGCAACGGCTTTCTGCAACTCACTTGCAAGGAGCACGGACATTCTTTTTAGCCATGGGGAGTTCGTCTGATGCATCTGGACGGCTCGGTTAGGGAATTGTACCCACGAGTGTCTGAGGAAAAAAAAAATGTGACATGATTGAGTCTTCAAGTCGAAATGTCGACATCAATTCAAGTCGAGTTCAACTGGAGGAATCATGTTCCACTGTCGCAATGTGGTCTGGAGCGATCGATGGAAGATGACAATTTGGTGCAACTTCACAATGCGCACAGAAACTATGGTTCTTTCTAAATCTTGGATTGTGCGGCGCACATGGGTGAGTGCTGCAGCTGCATTGAGGTCTTCTAAGTCATCTGTCATGTCGATCAAAGTGCCCAACATGTCATAGAGGATGGAAAGTGGGCGGTCTGCAATGAGAACATTCTGTAGTAGTGTCTGCAAAGCAGGGGCGTGACCACGCGGCACAAGAGCCATGATGACAGTGTAGAGGTGAAAAGTAATTAACATGGATGCTATGATCAAAATGATCAAGTGACAATGTGACAAGGGGGTTAAAGGGAGGGCGGGTTTTTCTGTTGAATCTGGGGCACCCTTGAAACCAAAACTTCAACAATCATAGATTCAACAGACATGTATGCAAGAGAGTTGACGTGTGACATTCACACTCAAACAGCCTACAATAAAGAAACATCCCTACGGGAGGTTATCCTTATTGCAACGGCTTTCTGCAACTCACTTGCAAGGAGCACGGACATTCTTTTTAGCCATGGGGAGTTCGTCTGATGCATCTTCCCCGTTCTCCACATCAGAGAACGACACTAAAACACTAAGAGAAGAGTGTGTCCAGCACATCGCTGACAGAAATGGGGATTTCAAGCTTGAGGTCTAATCCAGTCAGATCACCTCTCGATGGATCATCAGCAACATTAGCTGTTGAAGGCACTCGTTCGTACCAGCAAACCGAGCCAGTGTCTTGTTCCCAGTTTAGGACAGATTGGAAGATACAGTTGTCAATCTCACCTCCTTTGCCAGAGATAAGTCTGCTTAAGACTGCATTGTTGTCGACAAAGATCACTATGCGATCGTTCGACCTTACTCCCTCAGGCGGTAGTAAGCATGTCGTGCCAACAAGAACCGCAAGGGCCTCCAACTCAAAAATGATGGTCTCCTTCTTGAGCGGGTTCAGCATTGAAACTTGTTTGGTGTCAACGACCGAGGAGAAGAAGGAAAGAATTGTTCCATGCTGGTCAACCAACACTCCCCCAAGTCCTCCTGTTCCATTCTCAAAACAAGCATCAGTATACAAATGAAAGACCCGACCAGTGTCCGCAAGAACTTGTCTGGGCCCTCCAAGAACAATTCTGTCCCTGAGGAAAGTCAGGCTTGCGCAGAGATCGTTGTCGACACGAGATTCACCAACTGCATGCTCCCACCTGCTAAGTTGTTGCATGTGGATGCCCGCAAGACGGCCGAAGATCTGGGCCTCTGCAAACACCAAGCGTCCCCTCAACACCCTCATCTCGGCAGCCGACAAGGTGCGTCTGTTGAAAATGTCGTCAATTGTGTTCACAAGCTCCTTGACCCTCGGCTCTACGTTGCAGACTGTAAAGGACCCTAGGAGTGACTCGCTAAGGTCTATCTGTACCCCCAAAATTCGGGCAATCGCCCCAAACTGTGCTTCCTTTTCAGACGATACTTCCCAGCCAACCAGTTTGAAGAAAGCCTGTTGTGTTAGTTCAACATGTCTTGACTCCTGGTCAGACGCGATCAGGTAGAAGTCGTCAAAGAAGACCGTCCAGTGCAGTCTAAAGAGTTTCACGCCCATCCTCCACAACGCGTGAGACACTCTGCAGAAACCCATGACTGCAGCCCTGGCGCCAAACGGCAAGACTTGCGACTGGAAGGCCTCAGGTTGTCTTCGCTCAGGGGAGTAGACGCAAATGTAGGAGTCGTTCAAAGCCTCATGCGAAACTGGTAAATTCTTGTAGGCTTTCCGCAGGTCAATCGCCTTTCCCACTAGTCGCTCATCTCCACAAAGGCGGTGGCGCAGGGCTAGGGCGGCAAGGATCATGTCAATCGACATTGGTTGGATCGACTCTTCACAGGAGCTGGTTGAGTTCACAAGGGATTCCGAGTAGTCATCAATTGGCCTTGTCTTGAAGACTCTGCTACCATCTCCAAGGGTAGATGACTGTTGGACACCAAACCTCCTGGTTAACACTGCTTTGTCAGGGAGGTGCCGTATGTCGAAAGGGCCCCTCAGCCAACCTCGGTCCCTCTCGTCGAGGGTAGCTTTGTAGACATCCCCCGCAAGTTCAAGGTTGGAGCACCTGCCAGTCGATTTCCACACTGCTTGGCGTGAGATTTTGGACATAGCTCTGACCTGATCTGGGGTCAGGGTTGCATGTAAAGGTTTGGTTGGGAAAATGCCTCCTGTCGGAATTGTCCCCATCAAGTCAAAACCATTCACCATGTTCGAGGCAATCTCTGTGTCAGGGGATCCCGAGGCTTTGTTCATTTCATCAAAAAGCTGTAGGTTTTTGCCCTTGAGAACTTCTTTGACATGGTCATGCGAGTCATGGAGACCGTCCGCTCCTTGTTGTCTCAGCTCTTGGGCTCTCAGGAACCACTTTCTCATCTGCTCTGAACGATCTTTGGCTATGGCTGCAGAAGATCTCTTTGCTCTGTGCTCGAAAAGTTTTGTAGCACCGGGTGTACTCCATCCATGAAGTGGCCTGGATGGGAAGATCCTGCTGCTTGTCTGATGAATGCTTCGGGTTTCCAGGCAACTCCAAATTCAATTTCCCATTGATCAAGCTCCGCCTTATCCCCCAAGCAAACTGGAGGCTTGAGGCGTTTCGCATGTTGAGGTAGGGCATGTACTGGTGGGTGCACTGTGCAACACTGTGGGATTGGTATTGCTTCTGAGCACTGCAGGGGCAGGTTATTGATGAAATGGCCAGGTCCAGAAAGTTTCAGGATCTGTGCGTATTCACGAACCAAGGGTTTGAGACGTTTGCCACGAGGTTGATGTCCAAGTGCGGCTCGGCTGGACTGGGTCAAGGAGATGTGATTGTCCTGATCCAGCTGTTGTGGCACATCAATGGCTTGGAATTTCACCAAGAGTTCGTGATATATCCTGGCCATGGCCTTGCAGAGGTTGTGGGGGTACTCCGTCTCGGAGGCTGTGGCCCACCCGGTGTTGCATCGACCCCACGGCAGATGTGTGTGTTGCCCGTCGCATTCAGCCGTCAGGCTGAGAAAAGCGGGGTGGTTGCACAAGAGCTTGGTTCTCTTCTTGCGAGCTGCTTGGTACATGCAAGAGTGAAAACAAACTTCATGCAGTGAATGTAGACCTCGGAAGTGCTTGGTGAGGAAAGAAATGTTCCACATGTGAGAACGCACTGGGTTCTCAAGTGTGCATAGGACCCCTGAGGTAGTACACCAGGCCATAATTTCTCCAGAGAGGTCGTAGAGTATGTTGGCTGAATGCACACGTTTTGCATCAAGTCCCCGCAGAGTCGGTAGGCCGTCTGGGAACTGTGTGGACCGGAGTGGTTTAGGGTCAGGTCCATGGTCACGTCGGATCTCACGTGCACGTGAGCTTGTCCCACATGGTGGCCCCAAATGAACGGCCGCAAGATTAGGGTGACCAAGAACTTTCCACAGGAGTTCTTGGCCATGATGGGATGTAAGGTCCAATCTGATGATCGGGGCTTTCACTCGTTTTGTGACATGAGCATCAACTCCCAGGCTATGTTGTAGGCCCAAGTGCCTAACTGCTGCAGTCAGTCCACCTGTTCCAGAAAAGACCTCAAGGAAATATAGCTCGCTGATGGACTTATTGGACACACGCTCGAAAAACTTTTGTTCAAATTCTGAAAAACTGTGCTGTAATGGTCGTTTGAAGCTTCGGTCAAACTGCTCTGTTTGCCCTACTGAAGGGCCACCATGCAAAGTTGCAGCCCCCTGTACAGGAGGTTGAGGCTGCTTTGGCTGATCAGGTTGTAGTCAAGCCGTTTGCCCAGGAGGGCACTGGTGAACTGGATGCAATCCAAAGCATTTCATGCACACGTGGCTTCCTTTGTTGCAGTCTTTTCCTGCCTCTGCGAAATTGCAACCTCGGCTGAGATTGTAGTTGTAGCAGATCCGCTTGCCAGTCTTCGTCATTTGATTGAGACCCACCAGTTCGACTGGCATACGTCCCTTGTTGTTGGCTTTGCCACGGTTTTTGCCTTTGCCTTTGCCCTTGGAAAAGTTGTTGGGTTTTGGGGTCTTGTCAGGTGCCCCGTCCTTCTTGATTGGTGCTGGCTTCGTTGGTTTGTCAGCGGCTCTTGGCATGGGCAAGGGCATCATATGAAAGATTGTTGTTGGGTCGGTCTTGAGGTTGTCCAAGGCCTCGTCGAGTGGCAAAGTGCCATCTGGACGTCTGCGCAAGCCATCAACTTTTTCTGCAATGCGAATCCAGCCTGCACGGTCCGCGCGAAGAATTTGTTCGACCGTTGGTGATTTGTAGCCAGGTGGAGCATGTACCTGCATGGAGTCCATGAGAAATCTGTGCCACTTCTCCATGCAGCGAAAAGTGCAAACCCCCATGAGGTCACAAGCCAATGCCCTTCGAGTGAAGGCTTGAAAGATCTGGAGGTCCCCTTGCATGGGGCACTTATCCTTGTTTTCCATGTCTTTGACTGTGAGGTGCATCTGGTCCAACGCAAGCTCTTTCCCAGGTTTTTCGCGTGCAACTTCCGCCGACCTTGTAGTGAAGCGGTGTGGTTCCAAGTAGGAAGGTGCATTTTGCTCTATCATTTTTGCAACGTAATCATAGGAGGCATAGCTGCATTCGTATGGGCCAGTCAGGTCCATGCCTGCTAAACGATTTCTCTGGTCCTGGATTCTCTGTGTTCTCTCTGCTGGGACTAGTTCGGCCTTCTTCGCAGCTTCACTGCCAGCTAAGATGTGTTTGACCTGAGCAGCTGACAGCGTTTGGGCATCAAAAGTCAAGCGCCGGATGGAGGACAGCTGGCCAACAGTGACCGTATCCGTATCATCGGATAGTAGGCCCTTCAGTGCCTCATCAGTTGGTGAGGTTCCTGGCGTAGTCAAAGCAAAAGCCAGCTGTGCCAGCGTACTGATGCCTTCCCTTTGCAGGCGCTGCAGTTGCTCATTTGTCAAGCCATGTTCAACAGCCCGTGCATTAAATGCAGCAACAGAGTCCAGTATTGTGGCCATGGTGCAAAGGGACACGGTGGTGCGGCAGAAATCAAGAAAATGTCATGTTTCTGTGATAAAAATTTCTGTCACACTGTCAAACTCAAAGCAATTGATTTCGAGTCGTGACATGTATTTCATTTTTTTTTGGGCTTGATGGCACATTGCCAAACACATTCAAGCTAACAATGCCGACATCGATGGCATTGACAACTGCCACATGGCATGTGCTGAACATCTCAGAACATTTAAGGCGATTACCTTCTTTTCTATTCGCGGCGAGCAGGCTTAACAGCTGATCCCAGTCGTGCAGAATCCTCATCATGCGATCGACCGGCATGTCTTCTGACACACTGTTGACACTTCATTGAGTCAACAACCAAAAGAAGGGTGCACTGCCTATACTCCTTTGTGAGTTGTCTGCCACATAAAAAGGAGTGTCCGCAAAACGATAAAAAGTGGACAACTTTGGACTGCCTGTGTTGATAGTATACAAGTTCCCTCTTGTATTTCGTTTGGTTGCTGGCCACATTTGTCGCCTCTCCTTGCACTGCGCCATTCTTGGCATAGTCTTCAACCACTTCGTCCAGGCAGCTGTCAGAGCTTGAGCTGCTTGAGGAAGAATCAGAGTCAGAGTCAACATCAGCCTGGGAGTTACTTTGCGCAACTGATTGATCACACCCGGCATCGCTGCCAATATTCACTGGCAATTCCGAGGCCTCTTCTGTCCCAAGCTGAGGACCATCGTCAAGAGGCACAGAGTTGGCCACAGGTAAGGGGACTTCTGTCGATGCCAATGCACCATCCCTTTGTGACACCATCATGCCAGACCTGGTTTCGTCTGGTCGGAAATGCCCCTTCCTAATGTCTCTGAACATTGATTCCAAAACCCTGAGAGGGGCCGACTGAACATCCCTGGCATACACTTCTGAAGCCCCTTTCCTTGTCTGGTGGTGGCCCAGAATCAGGCGAGTGTCACTATCAGCACCATACTTGGCCAACATTGTCAAAGTAGTAGCCTTGCAACCATGCGGAGTGAAGCCAGTTGAATCAAAGTTGCTACCAATCAAAAGCTGGAGGATCCACTTGCCAATCTCCCCCGGGGTGGTTGCCCTCGACGTCCAGTCTCCCATCAAATTGGGTGCTGGCAGCATTGGGCACATGGGTCGCCAGGCTTGAAAAGGAAGACCAACTTTGACTGCAAGTTTGATGAAAGTTTTGCCCCACGACTTTGGTCCCACCCCTTTGAGGGGAGCCACAAGCGGAAGGTGTGCACCAAGTCTATTGCCAGTTGCTCGCATTTTGTGCGAGGCAGAGGTGGCCTCCAGATAGCCAAGAGAGTCTTGGTCTCCACCCACTGCCTCATCGATGAAGATCTCTGAGATCTTTCGTAGGTCACCAAACCTGGATCTCGAATAGGTTGCAAACAGGATCACACCTGTAGCATATCTGTCAACGATGCCACAATTTGTTCATCTTCTATCAATGCCTCCAAAAACTGTAATGCACTGACAGTGAGAGTTGTCGATTGTTTTCTGAGTGGCCTCGATTGCCCAGCCGCTCGGAGTATTCCCATGATCCATGCAGACTCAAAAGCATCGAGGCAACAGTCAAGTCCAACCACATGTTTCGCAAATTTCATGGCCTCTTGGAACCCTACCAGTCTGGAGTAGGTTGCCGAATCATTCCGAAGATGTCTGATGTAGTTTTTCACAAGTTCAGTTGTCACTGGGAAAGGAGGTCGCCTTGCCTCTTCCATTGACCATATTACATACCTGCTCAGTTGGGCCAACCTCTGTCTGAGAGTGGCTATGGCCTTGCCTCCAAGGATGTCTTTTACAGCATCCAGTCTCTCCGCATACGTGAGGTGTATGATGTCAACACCCAGATCAAAAGCAGAGTAATCAATGGAAATCATTGCCTCCCATTTTTGTATGAGTAGTTGGAGCTGGTCATGGTCTTCCAAATGACACACACGTTTCGAATCAAATGCAATCGCATGTTCGAAAGCAGTGGCTTTTGTACAAACCGTCAAGACTGCTTGGTCCTTAGACTCACTGCTTGCAGGCGGGTCGACATACCCAGGCACAGTTGGGACCCGAGGAACAAGTGAGTCTTCTTCGTCACCAAGAACCATGGATAAGCCAGGGAGGTTCCAGGGCATTGTTATCTTTGGCATGGATGCGCATGATAGTTGGGCATCCGAAATTGCTTCATGCATTCTGTGCCTCTCTGCTGGAGTCAGTGCCTCTTCAATGGCCCCGCCGTGCCGCATCAGAGAGACATCTCCACCCATGGCCTGGCAACAAAGTTCAAATTGAATCAAGTCAGAAAAAGAAAAGGGAGGAATACCATGCAGCTGATGTTGTGGTCAGGTCCATGTGAGGATTTACACAAGACATCAAGAGTGAATGAGACTCGAACAAGAAGGTCTGAGGTGGAGGCTTGGACCAACACTGGACTGCCTAGCGGTCGCCTGGTGTTAGGTCAGTACGATACATGCACTGCAACGGTTTTCTGAGTGACATCCACACTCAAGCAACCTGCTGATCGAAAACCATACATATGGAGAGTTGCCCATACTAGAAATTTTCCATTGGATTGACACTTCGAAAAAGGGGGGTTTTTGAGCGCTCCCTTTACGTGTCCAAAGGGGATCAATGGAAAAATGCCAGCCCATACTCATGACACGAAAAGGGTGCCTACATGTAATATGTGTCAAGACGGTTGGCAAGACACCGAGCCCTTGACTCAACGGCACACACCGTCAAGACTTCCAGGGACAGACCTTGCACAGCAATACATCACTGCCCACATGGGCTTGTCATTGTACATGCAACGACAAGACAGGCACATGGGCCCCAGACCAAAAACGTTTACAGGCTGTTGCAACTCCCTCGTGTCAAAGGGATCCAGGGCCTGACATACAGTCGTTGATTCGGAAAATTTTGGTCAGGCACAAAAATGCCAAGATGGACACATGTCCAAAGAAAATTCTAGTTGAGGACCTGGCACACTCCAAGGTTCAAAAACCCACCTCACATGAGAGGGTACACCGCTGACATCAGCGAAGGCTCACATGAGCTGACTGACCACACGTACCAGTTCTGAGGATGACACTGCTAAGCCGTTATGGTTCATCCAACCCCGAGCCTGACATTGCGTTGCTTCTCGAGGTTTTGGGTATCACTCGAAAGGTCGTTGCATGGAAAACAAAATTTAAACACAACGAACCCACAAGCCTTCCACCAGGGCTACGTTGACTGGGCCCACAAAAATGGCTGCGAGCTGAATCCGACAAAACAAGAATGTGTGTTGACATGACATGTCATTGAGCGGGTTCATGTGCACAACACTTGTGACATGTATGGCACATTGCCATCAATGGTCAACCCACATGTTTGCCACATCGGCACACGAGTGAGACAAGGAGGAAAAACTTCTGGTGACAACTGCATTGAGTCGTCAAGATTGGCTGTCAATTAAATTGAAAAAGGGTCCTACGCAAAAAGATCCATCGCTCAAGCAAGGCCCAAATGAGGGTCAGCCACTCCATCTGCAAAAATTTTGTAGGGTGCCACAAGACCAAGGGTTCAGAAGTCGCGTAGGGTGCCACAAGACCAAAGGTCCAAAAGCCAGGGATTTCTAGTCAAAAAGCCACCTGAACCTAGATGTATGATGGACCGGCTTGATTCACCAAAAAAGTTCAGCTTCCACGGCTTCCGTCTCCTGTCTCCGGCTCCACATCAGGTTCGGCCGCTGTTCTGGAAGCCGCTCCTGCACTGCCCGCACTTCTGGTCGCATCACCCCCTGCTGCAGTCGATCCAGAGGCACCTGTAGGCAAGATCAAATTGAAGGCATGGGCCAGTGTGTTGTCCCAAGCACACATTGTTTCGATCACTCTGCCAAGGCTACGTTGGAGGCGAACCTGTTGCTCCTCCAACTCCACGATTCTTTGCTCCAGGGAGCGATGACGCCACAGAAGGGATGTGAGTGGCGTGTTGAATCTGGGGCACCCTTGAAACCAAAACTTCAACAATCATAGATTCAACAGACATGTATGCAAGAGAGTTGACGTGTGACATTCACACTCAAACAGCCTACAATAAAGAAACATCCCTACGGGAGGTTATCCAGACTTTTGTCCATGAAATAGATGGGCCCAAACAAACATCTCTACAAAATGGCTGGATCTGGATTGAAAATCTTTACGAACAACATGTGAAAATAAGCTAAACAATTGCTGTCTTTCTAACTGGTGGCTCTGAATTCTCCCTTTCTAGTCCTGATTCTGGATTCAGTGTGAAACGAGATGTCATGCTGGCTTTCAGGGACCCCTTTTGCTGGGAACCAGGTGGGCATCAAGAATTCAATTAGTTTTGAACCGTCTTGAATTAAATGCTCAAAAACGTTAAGACAGAAGGAGAAAACCACAAGGCCGACCCGTCTTGTAGGTGCTTGGAAGGAAATGTGTTATTTTGTAGGGTTCTGATGGGGAAAACAAATAACAGCAGCATTTATAATATACCTAATATATCATAGTGTTTCATTTCACAGTTACCTTGAGCCGTCTTGAGCTATATTATAATATGATTGAGGCATTTGAAAGAAGGGAAGCACCAAAATGCCAACCCGTCTTGCAGGCGTTTGGAAGGGGACCTGTCATTTTGTAGGGGCACGATGGAGGAAGAAGACATCAATGATCAAACCATTTATAAGCTTGAGCAGTCTTGAATTCTACCATTGAATCCTTTCAAGAAAATGACGAAAGGCCAATGCTGACCCATCTTGTAGGCACTTGGAAGAGGACTTGTCACGTCATTTTGCAGGGCATGATGGGAGAAAAGAAGAAAACATAAAGACTGTCGTATTTCAGATTGTTTTGCAACAACTTGAGCAAAGATAAGCATCAACGACAACCCAACTTCTCAGGCGCTTGAAGGTTGCCGGCCATTTTGTAGGGACATGGTATGGTACAACGAAATTATATACATCAAATCACAAATACTCTGGAAAACATATTCAAAAACAAACGCACACAAAGACACAAAAAACAAATCGGACAGAATTGAACTGATGTCCCAAAACCGTCCCTTGAAAAAAAAAAACATACCATGAAAACAACCCAGACCTCAGATTTGGTTATGAAGAAAAACGGGTTGCTTCTCCGGGAATGCTTGTCTAACAACCAAAACATCAAAAAAAATAAATGCTGAAACTTGTGAAAACGCTGCTTCAAACAAATGATTTCTCACATGCAGCAAACATCGCAGAATGATAGCAAAAACATGTCAGAAGATAAAGATGATAAGTGAAACCGGAGAGGTATTGAAGATTTTTTATGCACATGAGACACTTTCGGGCAATACGAATGGGATTCGGCAATTGCTCGCGCACCATATTGGGATAAAACAATGGCAAAATGGGGAAAACAAAGCTGCACACTAAGTTTTTGAGTCATACTTCCAAAGCAGGAATATTGTGGAAAGTATCTCATGAAAAGACTATTTGGCCCATTTTGGGAGACACACAGAATATGCATAAAAGCTTCGAGAGTGAAGTGAAAAACACAAAAACTCGCAGGATGTTCCTTTCAAAACTCAGGCATAATCAAAACCCTTGAAAAACCAGTGATTTCTAGAAAATGATTAAACAAACAATTTCAAAAGAACTTGAAAGTGATGCTGTCTCTATGTCCCGATGAAAATTTATGTTTAGGGAATGTTTGCTTTGGTGCGGAGCCTTGCAAAAGCAGAATGAGGCAAACAGAAACAACATCTTATCCTATATATCATTATGTATGAACATATATGGGTATGGGTCAAAATTAGGTACCCCAATAATTGGATGGTGAATACTAAACTAGACTAACATCTGTGGTCCCTTAGGTCTTCCATTTTGACCCACATCCATATGATATGAAATGGTGAGCATTGTGACTGACTTACAAACCGAATCCTGAAGTAAGAACCACAAGATTCACAAGATGGAGAAAATAATCTAAATTTGTTCGGTCATGGCAGGATATGGGCCTTGAAGCGCGCACATCATCAAACATCTTGATATTGATTACTTTTCGGAAAGCGTTCTTTTCAAAGGATTGGCGGAGTTGTTTGGGCCTTAGTTGCGTGATGACGTGATGAAATTGATTTCAAAACCAACTGAAAATATCAAAGATGAGGTGCTGAAAGTGACATCGAGTAACCTAATGTGCCAAGATCCGCACAGAAAAAACTACAAAGTATACAAACTAATTTGTTTCCTGTTTCTGATTCTTCAGGCGTCGATGTCATGGCAAACACTGGCTCGATAAGCTTATAAATGAAGTTTTGCAAAGGCAGAGATGGTAGTGGTCAGCGTATTGGGCTCTCACAAGTTACTTACCCCGCTAGATGGACAAGCTGCCACACAGTGGCACCTTTTTCCTTCCTTGAGTGCACGGCTGTGCAAAAGGGGCTGCGGTCATGAGCTGTTGTCATGCCATGCCGTCTCTACCTAGTGAACTGCCTAGCTATCTACAGTAGCTACCTAATTCCTAGGTTTTACCCTTTGCAGTTTGCCACCCTCCTTAGAGTGGCATGGCTCACTGCCGGGCTTACTTGGTGAGACGTAGCTATACCTCTCCTGGCTAGCTGTGGCCAGAGAAAGGGCTGCCGCCACTGGAGCTGCCGCCTTCGATCCCCAGAACTCTGTTCTCGGCCTCGCGCCACTGCTGGAGCTCATTTGGACTCATCCCATCAAAGGGATCTAGCGGAGCTTCCCGCTCAATGGCTGGGTCTCCCGTCAAGAGCTCCGGGCCGGAACTGGAGATCGGCGGCTCCGCCCGCTCGGGCGGTGCTACCCGCTCAGGCGGTTCCTCCCGCTCAGGCGGTACATCCCGCTCAGAGGCGGGGCTGTCCGCACTGTGCGAAGTTGACTCACCTGGCTCATCTTGGCTGGAGTCTGGGTCTTGCCCATGAATCAGCCTTTCTTCGCGCCTGCGCCATTCGATCAGCTCCTGGAGGGTCATGTTGCTTTCTGCCCCTCTTTGTACCCACTGTTCCTCTGACCAGCGCTCGATGCGACTAGGAGTTAGTTCCTCCTGCCGCGGGGTTTCCGCCGGTTGAGGCTGCGGGGCTTCCGCGGAACCTGGCCGCGGGGCTGCCGCTGGCGCATTCACCGTCTGGCTGATGTTCAGCGGTCTACCGTCTCGGTAGGCGGTGATGTTGAGGCGCACCGTAGCGCTATCCAGCTGAAGTTGCACTTCGGCTCCTTCAACTTGAACCGGTTGTTCGGGAAGTTGATTTTCGCCTTCAGGCGGGAAAAGCCAGTCTGTGATCAGCACTCCTAGCTGATACAGCTTCACATAGATGGCTAACAAGCCGATGAGCGCGAGGGTGTACAGGACAATTGGATTGATCCATTGATTTCCTTGTCCCTGCGCTCGCACTGCGGTGATCTGGCTGAGAATCACCAACGACTTGATGTAGTTCACACTGCCCTTTGTTTTCGGGGCGGTGCTACCCGCTCGGTCCTTTCTGTTGTCAATCCAAGCAACGCTTGCTGGGACCGGAGTCTTCCAAGCATGCTGCTTGGTCACCGACGTCGAGACCTTGACGGAGATACGCTTTGTGGATGATAGCACATCCTCTCCGTCGTGAGCTTCGCACATACCCAGTCCATGTAGGGCTTGCTTTACCTCTGTCCCTGACTTGGGATGTTTCGTCAGAAAGTTTGCACAGTTGAGCGTTCCTTTCACCTTTCCCAAAGCGAGCTGCTTTGACTGGATCGCTCCTTGCACGTAAAACTCACAGACTTCCAGGTGCCTCAACTTGGCTCCTGGACCTATGCGTTTCGCTGCCTGCATGGCCGACGAGCTGTCGGTCCATAGGCGGGGCTTCCCGCACAGTTGGCCAAAATCTAAGGTGATGAGATCGCGCAAGTAGATTGCTTCTCTGGCTGCTCTGGATACACCTCTTAGTTCCGCATCTGGGCTGCTAGTAGCTGGCAGTCCGGGTTGCGTCTGGGTTGTGCAAGCAACCACAGCTCCACAGACTACTGCCACATGACAGTCGGTGCTCCTTCGGCTCTCGAGGCACCCTGCCCAGTCTGAGTCGGAATACAATTCTATGCTCCACTCGCCAGTCGCACTTGGCGGATCACATGTTACCACCCTGCCAACCGTGGGGTGAGTTTGCAGGTATGCTGCAAGTGTCTTCACAGCTTTCATGTCACACTGCCTTGGCTGCGACATGTGTCTCGCTGCTTCCTTCACAGCATATTGTATATCTCTGCGATCCAAGCTCAGGTAGATCGCGGATCCTACTGCGCTGCGATAGCGTTTTGCTTCTTCTTCGGACAGGGGAGTGGTTTCCAGAAGGTTCAATTGTTTGGACGGAACCTCACTCCTGTCACGCGCGGAGATACCCGCTGCGGAGATCACGGCTTGCCTGTGCTTTTCGTCTGGGATGGTGAGGATTGCATCTTCACTGCGCACTTTGGTGCGTCCCAGGTATTCCACTGCCGTTCCCTCCTTTTCGAGTTCTCCCGCTTGCACTTCGCAGTGTCGCGGTAGTTCTTGTTCGAAGAGATGCGCTAGGGCCTCTGAAGGTCCTGCTGCGCGGATGTCGTCCACATGGTGCAGCAGTACAATGCCAGTCTTGGCCCTGACAAAGGCATACCGCTGCGGGTCTACCCGCGAGCACACTATCTCTTCTAACTCGTTTCTATACACAGATCCGGCCGTTCTTCGACCGTAGAGATTTCCATCCAGCCGGAAACACATTTCTTTGAACCGATCCTTGTACCACTGCCGATCCGCTGGGTTGACTTCCTTGAGCCATTCGAGGAAGAGATCCCACCATTCGATGGGTGCTCGGACATAGACCGGTTTACCTTGTGCTGCGCCCCGGTCCCTTCCTATGAGGAAGGCTGCAACTATGTCTAAGCTCCTCGTGTAGAACTTGTTCATGAGGGCGTATACTTCTAAGACATTGTGAGACTCAGGAGTTGGAGTTGGCACGAAAACATCCAGCTCAGCCTCTTGCTCTTGGGTGTATCGCGCCTTGACGTCTGCGCATGTGAAGCGCGACTTGTAAGTCCCTCGTGAACACTTGTCTACCCATTTGTGACCAAAAAGCTGCGATCCCTGGGGTATGTCTTTTCTGTGGATGGGAGTGAACGCTCCTCGCTCCCACAGCTTTCGCAGTTGTGCCTTTCGGGCTTTGGATACCTCCTCAGGGTCGAGCATCTGATCGACGAATTCTGTCACATTTGAAATTCGCTGGATCGCTGTTGGGTTGTGCGGTTCTTCTGAGTTTCCCCATTGCTGGATTTTCTCCCAGATCTCTTTGGTTGTCAAGTGCTGCAAGATCCCTGCTTGCCGGGGCTGCTTTGCATCAGCTTCGCCGGTCTTCAGTTCTCCCGGATTAGCCCTCTCTCGTTTCCCTCCTGCCCCCAATCCAGATGGACTCATGGGTTCATTGGGAAGACTTTGCAAGTTTGAGGACCATCCCGCTCCCCGAAAGGGCGGTGGAGACCCGCTCGGCCCATGCTCGGGCGGCGGAGGATCTGCAATCTCGGATTCCGCTGGCGTTGTTGGAACGGGACTGACGTCTGTGGGGCCACCCGCTAGATCTGGAAATTCCTCCGCATCCTGCATCGGTTCCAGCTCTTCCTCTAGCTGTGCCGCGGCTTGTACCACGAGGGCGTCGTGGTCGACGTTGTGTCCGTCCACTGCCAGCGTCGGATGCTCCCGATCTGCTGCTTCTTCTCGCTCGGGGCTACCCGATGCGGCTGGTGCTGGAAAAGCGATTGGTTGAAACAACTCACGAGTGATCTTATGCCTCACACCATCTCTCGGCTGCCAAGGGGTTCCCTTCATGGCTGCCATCAGCTCTGAGCTGATCTGTCCCTCCTTGGGCAGTCGCCTTATGGACCGCACAGCGATTGCACCTGACGCTGTGCCAAGCACATTGCTGTCGTCCCTGTCCAGCTTTCCAAGCCACACTCCTTTGATCCATCGGCGTTGGATCTTGCCTTTGGGGCTCGGCACCTTGCCAAGCACTATTTCTCCCAATGTGGCTACAGGATGGTTGTAGTCACCTCCTGTGACCAGCTTGTATGGCGTCATGCCATCTCTGCTGCGTGTGTGGTATCTGGCTATGAGCCACGCCGCGTGGCGCACAAGCCATGGCGTGAGGTTGCTGCTCACGTCCAGCTCAGGATACCTCTGCCTGACATCTAACCACAGAGTCCGGATTTGCGAAGCTGCGAATCCGTTCATCGACTCCACAGTTCCTTGGCTCTGGTGTTGCTTCGGCGGAGCTTCCCGCACAGAGACCTTGGATGCACCCACATGGCGTTGGATGCTGTTTGCAAGGGCTCTTATGGCGGGCTCGCCATCGTGCTGGAGGATGATCTTGTCATACCTCAAGTTCTTGAAGTAGAGGTCGATGTTCTGCAGGCAGTATTTTGACTGAGCCACCTCCACAGACTTGTTGGGGAGTTGAAGTGTCAATGGCCATCCGGTGCCGGTATCGGTCAAACACAAGATGGTCACAAGACGAGATTCGTCTTCTACCTCTTCTTCCCGTTCTGGAGACAGAAAGAAGTAATCCATTTGGACCACCGAGACACCTTGATCTCGTTCTGCTGACTGATCTCGCTTGTGTTGGTCTTGGCGGGATTTCCCGCTCACACACTCCTCGCACCATGGCGCGAATGGCAGGTGAGTTAACCGATGTTGTTGTCGCTGTTCTTCCGTGGGGCTTTCCGGCTGAGGTAGCCCTCTTGGTTCAGGCGGCTCCGGCTCGTCTGCCGCTTCCTCCAAGTCGGCCAGCAGGCCGGGATCTTCCGCCTGCATAGCGGCGTCCGCTTCTTGCTGGGCGAACTCTCGCACAGCGTCGGCTTCCTCATCTTCCTGGAGTGCATGGCGGTGCACTGCCATCGCTTCTTCATCTTCAGGGTTGATGGCTGCGACCTTCACCTGGCCCTTTCCGCCATCCAGCTCTTCGTAGGGCAACAGGAACTGTCTCCCTTCTCGCCGGAACGTGGCGATACTGCCATCTGCCCATTGGATGTAGCAGTTGTCAGTTTCGAAGTGGACGCTGGCTCCAACGTCCAGGGCTCGATTGACTGACAGAATGTTCTCATTCACACCTTCGACCACCTGAAAGGTGACCTGTGCCTCCTCCTGAAGCTGCTCTCCGAGCCGCAACTTGGGGCGGATCTCCCCGCACGCCTTCAGCGGTGTGTCATCTACTGTGTAGAGCTCCTCTGTGGCGCTTGGGTCGAGGTCTACTGTCTGAAACGCCTCAGGGGTGCAGACCGAACAGCATGCTCCAGTGTCCACCAATAGCGTGCCTCTGCTCGCTACCCTGGCTATCTTGGGCGTGCTTCTCTGGAAAGCATGCAATGCCCATACTTTGCTTCCCGCAAATGCCTTATGTGGGTTTTGAAGAAGCTTCAATTTCCTTCCAAGCTCCCTGGTTTCCCATGCATCGGCGGCATAGTCCCATTGCCAGGTGGACCTCAGAGTGAAATCTGAGTATTGAGGCCCGGGTGTGACATACCTCCTTTGAGTGCCAGCTTTCCCCCGTACCACGTACACCTTGGTGTCCGTGTCAAGGTCATGCCAGCCTGGTTTGTCTTTGCAGTCCGAAATGGCCTGCCACTTGGCCAAAATGGCCTGTTCTGCCAAAATGGCATTTTGCTGGTGTTGGCTGACTACTGTGCTGCCAGCCGTTTGGGTTGCCAAAATGGCTTGAGGTGAAACTGATTCCACGCGGTGCTGCCCGCTGTGGCCGGGTTTTACCATGAGAAGTCGGTGTTCCCCGATCTTACTGACGTTCTTATCTTTTCTGTACGACGTCGAAGACGAGGAAGGAAGGGTTATGACGCTGTTGTTGCCCCCAACCTGCGATGCCGAGGGACCAGCCGAGACAATGGAGGCGTTGTCACCTTCATTCACGGCTGCTACTGCCTTCTTACCCTTTCCCTTTTCCTGACCTTTTGTGTTGAACCAGCACTTCTCAGTGGTATGGCCAGCCTTCCAGCAGATTGCACAGCGATCTTTGCTGTCTTGACCTTTTCCACCCTTGTCTTTCGAGTGGGTGTCTTTCCCTTTACCTTTCTGATCCTTCCCTTTGCCCTTCTTGCCCTCCTTTCCTTTGCCACCTTTGTCCTTACCTTTTCCTTTGTGTTGGACGAGTCCAATCTCCATGGGATCACTGCGTGCGGTGCTACCCGCATACGCGGCCGATGGCTTCCACACCTGCTTGGCTTGCAAGTATGACACCACCACTTCGCGCACAGCTTGGTAGGTGCTCAGCGTGGCTATGTGCATGGAAAGATGCTGTTTCAGGGCATTTGGAGCTTCAGTCAGAACTACGGCACGTTTATCTTCATCACTTATTGCTTTCTGTGCGCCGTATTCGGCTTCATACCTGTCTAAGTCGGCCTCCCACTCTTGGAGCGCCGCAGAAAATTCCGTCTCTTTTGAGGGAAATTTCGGGCTAAGCAGCGAGCGTCTCCAGATCAGACTCTTCGAGTGGTTATCTGGGGCTAACTCTCGGTACAGAAGCCTCCAAAACTCAAAACCGTTCTGTTCTCGAATTCCACGGGCTATCTTCACAGCTACTGCTAACTCCTGGGTCCAGGAAGTCAGCATGGCAAAAAGCTGTCTGCCACGTGCCTTGCAGTCATCAGTCATATCCACAGGGTCCACAAACGTGGTACTTTTGCGTGCTTCTTCCAAGTCTGTGGGAAACTCTTCATTGATCAGTGCCAGATAGGTTTCCACCTGAAAGGTGAAGCGTTCCCACTGCTCCCTGTCCTTTAAGGACTGAGGCTGTTTCACAGACTTGAGCACGTCTATATGACTGACAGGTTTACTGGTGCCGGCGGAGCTCCCCGCGCTGGGCTGGGGAACTGCGCCTGCTGCGCCTCCGTTCTGCAAGGATTGCTGCAATTGTCCCAACGCGACGTTGAGGCGTTGTTCCAGCTGCTCTTTCTCGAGCTGCAGCTGCGCATTCACCTGTTGTTGGGTCTGCTGAGCGGTAGTCAAGGCCTGAACCTGACTCGCTAGAGCCTCCATCTGCAGTTGGATCTGCGCGGCTTGCTGCTCCATCTTCTTCTCTGCAATTTGGTGGTCTCTCGTCTACCACCTCGTAGTGTTCAGTCTGGCTTTGGCTCAAAGCCCCTTGGATTTGCTCACACAAGTCAAGAGCTTTGTTGAACTCTTGCTTGACTGTAGGAGTGAGCTGGCTCGCACGCGCGGGGACTTCCGCTGCGTACAGCGGAGGTGCGGCCAACTTCTGCAGCGGCTCCTTGGAGCTGCTTGCTGACTCCACGTGTGGCTGTGGGATATCAGCTGGATCCTTGCCCTGAAACACAGGGTCTGGAACGCAGATCTCAAAGCTCTCTTCACTTGAGATGTCAGCTTCCCAGTCAACCGGATTTCTATTGAGAGGCTTGGGGCTTCAGACGAATCAATCGCCTGCTTGGCTTCGTCCAAGTCCTTCTGAAGTCGGGCTCTTTTCCTTGCAGCCCTTGAGCTGGCCCTATCAGCTTGTGGGACCAACTTCACCGGTGCGCGCTCGTCTGCTTCGAGTGCAGCGCGTCCCGGAGGCGGATCTACCCGCACTTCCCTCTTGGCCTCTTCCACCCTTAGGTTGGTCTGAGGCACGTCGGGTGCGTCGGGTGTTGACCCGATGTCCAGCGCCGAAGATGGCACTGACCCCGGCTCTGGTGCCGGTGGGTCTGGCTCAGCCGAAGGATCGGCTGGTGGATCGGCCGATGGGTCGGCCGGTGTTGGCTCAGCAGGTGGCGCGTCCGTGGACTGGCCTGGCCCTGCTGCTGCTGCGTCTGCCGCCTCACGTGCGGCTCTTCGCTCTTGACCCCGTTGGATCCTGGCCTCTGTCCTGGCCACTGAGCGATGTCCTCGCCGATTCCTTTCTTGGGCGAATCGACTGCTTCGAGATCGATCCGTGTCTGGTCGGCTTCGTCCCACCAACTGTTGTCGGTGGTTGTCCCAGCGTCCCTTGTTGCAGGAGCTCTGGGTTCTTGCTGGGAGTAGTCTACCCAGCCACGGCTTGCCCAGTCCTGAGCTTGCCAGTCACGGTCGTCCCAAGGGGTCGACCTATTCCAGGATTCCCAGGTGTTATCCCGAGAAGCCGTTTTGTTTGGACTCTCCTACGCAGCCTTGGCCACGTAGGCTTGTCCTCAGTTTGGGCGGGGCTGCCCGCGGCCTTGGCCGGCGGAGCTGCCCGCTCTTTGACCTGGAGCGGTGGGGCTACGCAGCTCCGCTACCATGCAAAGGCAGAGATGGTAGTGGTCAGCGTATTGGGCTCTCACAAGTTACTTACCCCGCTAGATGGACAAGCTGCCACACAGTGGCACCTTTTCCCTTCCTTGAGTGCACGGCTGTGCAAAAGGGGCTGCGGTCATGAGCTGTTGTCATGCCATGCCGTCTCTACCTAGTGAACTGCCTAGCTATCTACAGTAGCTACCTAATTCCTAGGTTTTACCCTTTGCAGTTTGCCAAGTTTTCAACAAGTTCAGCACCAAGTTCGTCAGTCAGTTCGACAATGAAGTCATTGATATTGCTCCGTTATCATATTTATCATGTAACCATGACAGGGTTCTAAGATTTGCCGACTTTGTCAATATCAGTCAGTTCATCAATTCGTCAATGAATTCGTCAATTCGTCAATGAGTTCGTCAATTCGTCAATGAATTCGTCAATTCATCAATGAGTTCGTCAATAATTGTACGAACTTTTAAGCTAAATTGACGAACTTTGTACGAACTACCATTGACGAATTGACGAACTCATTGACAAATTGACGAATTCATTGACGAACCGGCGAACTCATTGACGAACTGATGAAATCATTGACGAACTGACCAACTGATTTATAAACTAACGATCCCATTGATGAAGTGAAAAATTCATTGACGAAATGGCGCGAACTCATTGTTTAATGGCCGAACTCGCATGACAACCTGCTAAACTTTAGCTTGGCAGCATAGAAGGACCACGAAAGGCGTGAACACATCAGAATCAAATTAACCATAATCAAACAATTTTCAGTGCATGATTGAAATGTTTACCCGAAATTGACGGATTTCCTAAAAGGAGCATGACGCGTCCAAAAGCAAAGCAATGACAAAGAAATTAAAAATAAATTAAACGCACTTAAGCTACAAGTTTTTTTCCGAAAAAAAAACATTGACTGAGAAAACAATCCACATCCGGGACTTGCCACTCATGGCAGTGATTGG